AGGAGAGGGCCCTCAAGACGGGTCACAGAGAGTAAGAAACTCCCCAAAAGTCCTGCCAAAGCCTCAGGTCAGCGAGCACCATCGACCCCTCCGAACAAGGCCATCAGAACCCCAAGCCTCCGGTCGTCCCCTCGACAAAGCCCCGCCCCCCGACAGAGCCCCGCCCCACAGCCAAACACAACACCAAGAGGGAGAGCAAGGAGATGACGGCATCTCAACAGTTTACTGTGGCTTCCTTTCTTCATCTCCTTTTGCAGCTGCACTGATTTAGAAGATTGTGATTTTCTTTGTGAAGTGTACAAACGTCAGTTGGGGCTGTCACAATTATTACATAATTGCCTGATCGTGATTATTTGAACCATGTGGAGCAACTGTTATTGTCATTGTTTTGCAATGACAATAACAGTTGAATTTTGTAATGAGAAATTGACAAAATGGATTGAGTGCTAGTTCCAAAGCCGAACACAACTACACTGGTCTGGGCGAATTTAGTTTTTAAAACAAATTAGAGGTCTATCTGAAAAGTGGTGGTTATAATTGTAAACTCGAATCTGTCTCGGTGAATCTGAAGAACCATCTCGGGATCCACCATGTGTATATTTACAATATACATAAATAGTTAAATTGTTAATCGCAATTATTTGTGTGACAAATAAGCGTCAACGAAATTGTCTAAATAGTGACAGCCCTGACGTCACCAGTTGACATAAGAAGCACATCTGCGCCATTTTGTTCTATTTGAACTTGAAACGATGAATGTTCTCACTTATTTTCAGTGCAGGTGAAGAAGAGCAGACAGGAAGCATCTGTTGAGATGCACCCAGGTCCTGGAGAGATGGGGGCAGAGTGAACAGAGAGGAAACAGGCTCCCCAATCTCTCCTTATACTGGAATGTTTTGCACAGAAACCAGCAGCGGAATAGTTAGCTACATGTTCTCAGCCATCTGTTCTGTAATGTTGGTGGTTGTTTTCTCTGTTGTTTTTACAATCAGGGTATTTTCTTACGTTTATAAACACTTTTTTCTCAAAAGCTTGTTTATTGAAAAAATTATGTACAGTGATCCAAACATCTTGTCATGTATATATCTCTGACGAGACAAAACATTTGAGTATTCATATTTCATAGGAACTAAACCAAAATCTCTTTCAAAACCATTTGAGTGTATTAAATTAAAAAAACCAAGACCGTTTTGTAGAATAACTTGCCTCCTAAGTTGTCATAGTGTCGGTAACACTTCTGGTGACATGCTCTGGATCGTTTGTGTATTGAAATGGTCACAAAGTGTATATCTAGCATGTGAGTTTGAAACGGAGCGTGTGTGTAGCGTGTTTGAGTAAGGGTCAGAGTATGACCTCACTGCAGCAACGAGATGGCGAACAGAATCCCCAACTTCTTCTGCAGCCTCCAGCAACCCTGGGTCATGTCTGCGTTCTGGAGGAAAGAGACAACTTTATACACACCTGTTTATACACACCTGTCTACACAAACACATGTAATAGTGTTTGTGTAGACAAAGAAAGTGTGTGTGTGTGCAAACTCACCTGTATGTATGGAAATGTCAAGCGACAACTTGCATTTTAATTGTTGAACCAGCTCACATAGTTGCTCTTCTTCCACTAAACTACATAACCCAGAATGCATCTCTTGAGAGACAGGCTGATTTTCCATTGGTCCAGTGATCTGCTCATCTAGCATAAACTCCCCATCACATGCATGTTGGTTTAAAGTTATTCCCTGGTGCATTGTGGGAGTGGGAGTCTCATTCACTGTGCCAGTCACAGTCTGATCATCATCTATGCCTCCCTGTACTATTCTTTTAATCTCAACTCTGACCATTTGCTCAGAGAAACTTTCTTCATTCTCTTTGCTGTCCTCGTCTTCACTCTCCTCCTCCTCCTCTTTTTTTCCTCTGCTCTTCTCTTGATCCAGAGAAACATTCAGAACTCTGGTCCCCTATTGGAGAGGCAGTGTCTCTCTCTGGTGTGTTTTTACCAGGCGGTTCAACGCCACGTGGAACGTCGACAGCTGGTGTCCCTGACATGCCTACAGCCTTTAAACATGAGAAGGAAGACTTAGCACCGTGTCTGGCCTAAAGTGAAGGTGTTTTGTGTTTGTGCGTGTGTGTGTGTTTGTCCAGGCAGTCGTGTCTACCTTTGAAAACATGTCCTGCAGTCTGAGGTTATATTGTCTCAGAGTCTCCATGTTGGCCTCCATCTCACAGCAGCGGTCCTCCAGAGTGCCCTGCTCGGACTGGACCGCCACCTTCCACACCTGCAGCTCCCTCTCCAAGAGCCTGTACAAGCACACACACACACACACACATAAACACTTGTGACTAAGCCCCGCCCAGGATGTGGTTCGAAGGTTAACGGGTAACAATAATTAAGGCTCACCATTTGTCTCTCTGTAGGTCTTTGATGTCCTTCACCAAAATGGAGTCTCTCCTCTGAGGACATAAATAACACAGATATGAACAACACACATCAGGCTAGTCATCAACCAGTTTTTTCTCCTAGGGATTTCCGCTCGTTCAGATAGTATGAAATGCATAGAAACAGAACGAATGGAATTCCTTTCAAACGATTGGTCCATCTACACCTATGCATTTCCTACCATAGGTTTGAAAAACGTATTCACTACACCCGAACCCTCATGAAAAGCTGAGGTGTGCGGGAGACGGAGGAGGTGAAATGTCACCTGAGGCTGGTGCTCCTCAGTCTGGAGGGCGTTAGTGATACTAACAGCTAGAGGCGTGGCCAGGGGTTGGAGAGGGGTGCTGGAAGGATCGGTGTCAATTGGTGGCACGTCCCTGGGGCCAAGTGATGCTTCCGACTGAGGTAAAGGGTCAGAGGCAACAAATCTGTAATCACACAGGACACAATAAGACACGATAAGATTTGTGCAATACTCAGTGTTTATTAAAATACAGAAATCCTTCTCTGACTGTAATACGTGGCGATCCATTTGTGATTGGTATACCTGGGGTGTGGCCCTCCTTGTGTCTCCGCCATTATTAGGCCCCTCCTCTCTGCCTTCCTCTGTGTGTATCGTCGTGGTAACAATGTGTGTCGTATGCTGTATCCAAACGAGGCCAAGGATTCTCTCCAGGAGGGCTGCAGAAAGAACACAACTGTCAACTACAAGAGTGTGTGTGTGTGTGTGTGTGTGGCGTGCGGCGTGCGCGCATGTGTCTACCTGACTGCAGTGCTCTAGAACTGGGTGAGAGCTCTTATGTTTCTTAGTGTGTCTTTCTGTCAGGAAACAGGTTTGGCACATGTGAATGTTCACACACTTCATACAGCGATACCTGAAAACACAGAGGAAGTTAAAAAACGTATTTACTATACAGACACACACACCGAGACATACGTTACAGACACACACCACACAGAGACATACGTTACAGACACACACCACACAGACATACGTAACAGACACACACCACACAGACATACGTTACAGACACACACCACACAGACATACGTTACAGACATACGTTACAGACACACACCACACAGACATACGTTACAGACATATGTTACAGACACACACCACACAGACATACGTTACAGACACACACCACACAGACATACGTTACAGACACACACCACACAGACATACGTTACAGACATATGTTACAGACACACACCACACAGACATACGTTACAGACACACACCACACAGACATACGTTACAGACACACACCACACAGACATACGTTACAGACACACACCACACAGACATACGTTACAGACACACACCACAGACATACGTTACAGACATATGTTACAGACACACACCACACAGAGACATACGTTACAGACACACACCACACAGACATACGTTACAGACACACACACAGAGACATACGTTACAGACACACAACACACGTTACAGACACACATCCCACAGACATATGTTACAGACACACAGAGACAGACATACGTTACAGACACAGACATACACACACCACACAGACATACACCACACAGAGACATACGTTACAGACACACAACACACGTTACAGACACACATCCCACAGACATATGTTACAGACACACAGAGACAGACATACGTTACAGACACACACCACACAGACACACACCACACAGACATACATTACACACACACAGACATACACCACACAGACATACACCACACAGACATACGTTACAGACACACACCACACAGACATACGTTACAGACACACACCACACAGACATACGTTACAGACATACGTTACAGACACACACCACACAGACATACGTTACAGACACACACACACCTGAGTCCAGTGATAGGGTAGGTCTTGCAGGTGTGGCAGCGTACGGAGTGTGTGATGTTCTCGCTGACTGACAGGCGGTACAGAGTGGAGAGCCATAGTAGCAGACAGGGCTCACACTGCAGCCAAGAGAGGACGTGCTCTTTACACACACTCGCACTCAGCACCTATACACACACACACACACACATTAGTCACTTAGCAGATGCTGTTATCTAAAGCAACTCACAGTTAGTGCATTCATCCCAGCTGTATTTATTACTTTTACGAGGGGGTTTAAAGCAATCTTCGAAAATCAGTGATTTTTTTATTTTGCCCCAAGGAAGTCTAAAGAGGTGCAAGTTTCACTGTTAAAGTTTGGACGTCTATTTTAATATCTTTATTTGTTATTAAATATATATATTTTAGTTTTTTCTTTGTTTTATTTTAAAGTATTATCGTGGCACACTTGTAGCCATCACCTTGACAGTGTCTCCTCTGTACAAATTAACAAAAAAAAAAAGATGAGTTCTTCATATTTCACACTTACCCCACTAAAGCAGGAACGAACAGCCGTCTCTGCTGAGCCAAACACATGGCTCTCTTGCACTACAGCTGGCACCTACAACACACACACACAAACTAATCATGTCAGGTTGCTTTAAAGTGTGCATGTATGTTTCTATGTGCACATTTTTTAAATGTAACTTTATTTAAGGCCAGGTTGAGAACAATCTGGGGTGAAGCTGGGGATTGAACCCAAGACATCACACATACAAAGCATGCACTCTACCACTGAGCTACACCAACATGCACTCTACCACTGAGCTACACCAACATGCACTCTACCACTGAGCTACACCCAACATGCACTCTACCACTGAGCTACACCCAACATGCACTCTACCACTGAGCTACACCCAACATGCACTCTACCACTGAGCTACACCCAACATGCACTCTACCACTGAGCTACACCCAACATGCACTCTACCACTGAGCTACACCAACATGCACTCTACCACTGAGCTACACCAACATGCACTCTACCACTGAGCTACACCAACATGCACTCTGCCACTGAGCTACACCAACATGCACTCTACCACTGAGCTACACCAACATGCACTCTGCCACTGAGCTACACCAACTCCTTTTATTTACAGATGTGTGTGTGTGTGTGTGTGTGGGTCAGACCTGGCTGAGGTCTTGCAGTAGGACCCTGAGGCCGCTCCTGCTCACTGTTCCGCTCCCCCTCCCACTGCACCTCTCTGCCAGACCAACCAGAGCTGCAACACAAACAGGTCACGTTTAACCAGTGCCTTTAATCGGTCCAGTCAGATCAGCTCTAAAAAAGACCTCATGTGAATGGATCCTAATTGGATTAATCAGAAGAACGACTAACGAGGCAACATTTTTAAAATAGGGACTGGTTATAGCGATCTCACCCACCCGTCTGTTTGGCAGAGAGGGTGTCTGCTGAGAGAACGATAAATGCAGCTTCCATTGACCGGCGGCAGACAGTGCCAGTCTGTCCTCTGGGAAAAACACACACCAATTATTTTTCAGACGCAGGGTATATTTGGTTGTGTGTCTGCTGCCAACACAGAATGAGATACACCAGGGGCAGTTTTGCCTTGTTATGTCTTGTCAGTGACATTCACTCAATTAACCATGTCAGCTTACAATTTCTGTCACTCAGACATCCCATAACCCTGGTTGGTCACCAATCAATATATGTATTGTCCCAGATTTGTTTGTGTGCAATCTAAATAATAAATGAACAGCAACAATGTTCCATTTCATACAACAGATCCTCAAACCAGATTAAAAAATAAATAATATGATGGTTCAGTAAGAGTGCCACGTGCTAAGTGCAAATACAACCTTTCTTATTTATTTGCACTTGAGAAGTGTGCTAAAAACACATCATTTCTCTAAGCCCTATTGCAAAACGTGTAGAATTGCATGAAGAGAACTTCAGTCTTAATGTTAATCTGCCTTATAGACAGTAGCTCAAAAAATCTGTTAAAGTGAGGAGAAGGTGTATGTGTTGCCTGGGTCCTTACCGGTCATACAGTGTATACAGCAGTCTGCAAGTTTGTTCTGGCGCCTCTGCGGATACCTGACCCGGTGCCTCTTGCTCCACCAATTGAAACATTCGGCTGATGCCCTCCATCACTTCCTGCTTGCTAAGCCCCGCCCCGGGGTCGCCGGCTCCGCCCAGAGAGCGCAGCGCTGGGATGAGCTCCGGAATAGTCACAATGTGCACTGTAAGTTAACACAACAGATGCCTACTGTCACAGACTGCACACACATGAGAAGTGTTTAATTTAAACACACACATACGCTTACGATGGCAGAGTTTCTGTAAGGAGCGGAGCTTCATTGCAGTGCGGTACACAGAGGGACGAACTTCATTTAATCCCTCTGGGAAGACAAACACACACTGTTGGATTTACTACTAAGTAGCGTTCAGATCTTTGAACCTATAGCAGACAGAATATTGAAGTACTCCAAAAGTAAAGTAGAACACTCTTAGGGCATAGAGCATGGACATGAACTGTATATGAGATGAAAGTTGAACCCTTAGCCAGTGCCGTAACCAGGATTTTTCAAATACCGAGGTCAAAAATATCTCCCCTCCCTTTTTTATCAAAAGAAAATAAAAGTCTGGGTTTGAATGTTTGCGAAATGCTGCTAAGCTACCTGTAATATAGGTAGTAGCAGAGGCGGTACTCCATCACACACATTCATCACTTGTTATTAATCTGTTTGGAGTTGTGGTTAGTGCGCTCGGGTGTGGATCTGGGCGACGCGAGTTCGATTCCCCCTACAAGAAGCTACTTTATGTCTTTAGATTTTATTTTCTGAATTCTAATGTTGACCATGTGTATGATGTATTTAAAACAGCTAAACTTCAACATTTTAGCTCTAAAATGCCACATGCAGTAGCTAATATTAAGAAATATGTTGTGCTTTTACTTTTCGAGTCCCAGTCCGTCCTTGGGTAGTATCAGCTGGCTTTTTTAAAGTCCCATTCATTAAAGCTGTATAGTATTGCAATCGAAGTTTGCACTAATTCTACAATTCGAAATTCTAGTGAAATGCACCTAGTCGTTATCTAAGGGATTATGTTCACCAAATACTGAATATCATCCATGGGCCATGTCTGTCTCATTCCGTGCTCACAAGAGTACAAAGGTATAGGGAAAACATGACATGGATTTCAGAAGAAATAACTTTTGTTAATGCGTAAGGCAAGTCAAGTGGATTTGTGAAATGGACCGACCGGGATTTTATATTTTCGGTGCTGAAAAGAAAGACGTTATGTTTTAGCAGTCACATCGATATTGCCCGCATAACCATACAGTAGCCATACGATCAATATGGGGTGGACAAATTGTCCTTCTTTGAATATTGGGGGGACGTGTCCCCCTGCCCCCCCCATAGGATTACGCCTATGTGTAAAAATATATATTAGACGAGTTAAGTCCTGAAGACAACGACTACAGCCAACAATTTTTGTTTTGACTGACAAGACAAGTAGGCTACGTGTCCGTGACGACGATCCGTAGACTTCTCGACTCGCCGGCTATTTTCCATTCACAATGAAATTACTAAAAAAATATATATCACAGAAAAAAATACAGAGGACATGACCTCGGTGTCCTCAATGGTAGTTACGGCACTGCCCTTAGCATATGTATGTGTGTCAGGAAAACGTGCCTCTCAAATAGCAGAACACACTTGAAGGGGACAATCTCCCGTTAATAAGCCCATACTCGTTAATGCAGAGGCACAAATTATATTGAAAAATGCAAGCAAGCCTTCTTACGTAAAATGTCTTGACTCTTGTTGCTTTAGCCTCATGAGACTACCAACATATTTCTGACACTGTAATATAAAACTTAAGCACTTTGTAAAATGCATTATTAAGCCAAAGCCCTCAAAATGCTGAAACAGTTCCCCCTAAAATCTAAACAGGAAAACCATCTTAAACTCTAATATCTTCCAAAAGAAGTACATATTTTAAAAATACTTTTCAAAATACAAAACAGAATAGAGGTTTTCGAAGAGATAAATCAAAGAAGTAATAAAATAATTTAGGTATGTAAGCTCCAACATAGAACTTACCAATACTATCCAGATCCATGTTGATCTCGCTTGGACCTGAGTGTTGAGTAAAACATGTACAAACATAACAACACACTTCTTTAAACATTATACAACACTTTTGTAACCTGATTTATTTTCAATAAATATAGAAAATAATACATATGAAAAACCAAAATACAAGAATAATACACAAATACGCTTTCTTATAGGCTTTCTTATCTTTTGATTACGTCACGGTAAGGATTTCAACAACTTTTCCATGTATAACATTTAATAAGCCATATGTTCATTTTATATTAGGCTGCCATAATTTTATCATCCCAGTTTAGAAAAATTAAATTGCTGTTGCAACAATTCACAGCAGATGCGTGCCGCGTGATAGTCAAAAATCAATACATGTTTCCTTACTGCACAGCAAAATCTGTTTAATTTAATCACATTTTTAACTATGGCGTCTGGAACTGTATCACCAACGTTTGGTGATACGTCATTACTGTATTTAGAGTCTTCTGAAAGTCCACTTAAGAATACATTTTTGTTTCGCTTTTAAAGACCTTACCTTTTTTCCTTTAATTTTATAAATTGTATTTATTATATTCTTAGATAGTTGGTCCACCATAACCACAAAATCATTCATTTGAAGTGTACATTTTGGAAACAAGTGCTTTTTTAAACATACATATTGACCACTGTGAAAAACCGCTTAATGACGATAGCCTACCTATGACGATTACTATTTACTGCAACGGCGGTAACTCTCACGGATGTAACTCCGACCAATACGGGTCTATTCCATTTTGCAGAAGTGTGATTTGGCGGTATAGTGGTAAAAGTGGATTAAACCTTTACTTCAGAAAAGGGGTGCTATTCATACTTTTTAGTTTCATTTTCATTTTGTAGTCAAATAAAATTCAATTTTAATGACTTTTTTCTTTATTATTGTTGTGATAACAACAAACGAGCTGTAATAAGGCTGGCTCCAAACCACATGTTTTATATTATCTGTATTGAAACTGTTTTTAGGTAGATCTCCCCGACCTGCAAAGTTGGTCTGCGTGCTCTTTAAAGGGAGGGTGATGTTTTTAGATCTAGTTCATGTCGATGGGAAGGAGCGTGCTAAGTAGATTGTAATTGTAACTTCATATACACTCTTAACAATATTTTTCTCGAATGTACGTCTGCCTGGCCATCGGTACAACCAAGATCAGGTTTGTGAATCTTGTTCGTTGTATGCACTTGTGTATCGCAAACCATAACTTTTGTGATTATAGAAAAGAATCCGATAATACATAACGTAATAGGTATGTCTACTGTATATGTTATTTATTAAATTATATGTGCGCATATACAAATGTGTGTATGTAAACACACACAACAGCTGAGTGTGCTAAATACAGTAGTTATTTATCCAAGACTCGCTCACTACACGGTCGGGTTGTTTGTATTAGGATCGAAAAGCTCTACTAGCTCTACTAACAGGTAATGAGGTAATGTTGGTAACGCATGTAGGCACTTGGTTGACTAATCTGATTTGTTAAAAACACATCTATATAGCAGGATTATGGGTTCTTTCATTAAAACACCCGAGGAGAGTTGACACTGTCACCATGTGTTGTGCAGGAACCATTTACAGACCATCTTTACAGACCATCTATCTACACGGCAGAGCCGATGTTACAGAACAGCAAAAT